ATGTGTCTCGAGACGTCAGGGCCCATCGCGAATGTGGATGTGTGAAGGCGGGGCGCGAACTTGCCATGGTCTTGCTAAAGCTGTCCAAGATGTCGATCATCACGTGAACGACGGTGGCCGACGCTCACACATTGGCCAAGGCAGTCCAGCTCAAAGGGTCTTCCGTCAGGATCATGCAAGGCGCCGCACCTCGAAGTCTAGTGCATCTTCGGCATAGCAGGGAGGGCCGCGAGGACCCAGCGGCAAACCAAGCATGGCATGCCGAATGCAAAGCTCAGGAGCTTCCGCCGCGCACCCAGGTGGCGCGACATTGCGACGAGGCTCGAACGCATCTGCTGCCAATCCGAACGCACCCACAGCTTCCTAGATAGAGCGGTCTTGGGGGGCGGAGCAGTGCATTAGCAGTATGGATGGGCCCCCGCCGTCGCCGCTCAGAGCGGCGCCTGTGGCCAACCATTCACACAGTGCTGAAGGGTGCCGGGACATATGTGCAGCTGGAACAGATGGGGCGTCGTCTGACAACGCGCCTCGACCCCCGCGCGCCGGAGGGGGGCCCCGAGGTGGCCCATCCAGTCACATGAATCGACGCGCGCCTCAGCATTGGGTAGGAGTGCCCGACATCAGACATGCGGCATGCGATCACCTAAGAGCGCTCCGCCCCAAACGGCAGGCGCGGGCAGTGCGAGGGCCAGCTCCAGCCACCATCCTCGAACTCCTGCGCTTCAACTGGAACCCAGCCGAGGTGGACGCGTGGTCGTGCGCATCTCAGCCAGGCACAGACGAGGGATGTTTTTTTTCCCCCGATCGTATGTGCACAGGCGATGCGTTTCTAGATGTATATCGGTGACTACCTCAGAGAGATATTTGACGGTCAGCCGGACTGACTGCCTGGGGCCAGGCGGCACGACATAAGTGTGGGGGCGGAGCGGCACTCGGGGCTGGCAATCGCAAGTTTCGCGTTCTACTGAAACGCGTCGGCCAATTGCCCCCTGGAGTTCGGTCATCAGAGCTGTTGAGTGGCATTTGGGCGGGTGGTTTTTGGTCGCGCCAAATGCTCCAGGAGGGGCTGAAAAGCTACAATGCCAGCAGGTTGTGCAACATATGCACAGATGCCGACCTGTGCCCAGCGACAGTTGTACGTCGGATTTGGAAATGCGAGAACCATGCATGCGCATCCCCGTGCTCTCCCTCTGATGCGCTCGTTCCAGAGGCTCTGGCACAAAAAAGCTATGGCTGCATAATTTTGGCTGCGTGGTCCCCCTCCACGAACGTGGACGGAAGCCCACGAGCCCCCAAGAGAGACCAGCTTGTAATACACAGGCACCAATGAGTTGACCCAGGGCGTGTTCGGCGCAGGCAGCGAGATCAATCCAGTTGAAATTTCCATGGAGCAGTCTTCGGCCCCTTGTGCGGCACTTGACAAGTGGTGGCATGAGGCGACTTGTATGCTTAGTGTTTGGCCCTGTGGTGGGCAATCGGTTTTCTTACATGCGCGACACATGTTGAGTATGTTTTGACGCTAGAGCGCAGGCCAAACGATGCCCCATCTCTGCAGGAGAAGCTGCTGAACTATAGAAGTTATGGAAGTTGGTTGGACATTTGATAACAAACCGCTTGCATGCATAAGTTGCCGCATTGTGGGGGCATTGACGCCGCGCGGCCACGGGCGTGGCCGATTGACGCGCCAACCACTGCATGGTCAGTGGCAACCCTCTGGACGACGAGTTCGCCGGCTTCGCGGTTGCTAAAGCGAAGTTGCCCGCCGCTGTCCGCCACCAGGTGCTGTTGTGGAAGAGGGAGTCCCTCCTCATTCGTGTGCGGCTCCTGCGGGCCACTCTTTGACAGTATCAAAGCCAGCCACGGGACTGTCCGCGACGAGAAGGGCATTATTCAAGGCGCCCGGGGCCCCTGTGAGACCCCTCCTCTTCCCCCTCCGCCTGTTGCCGCCGCTCTCTCTGCCTTTATTGTTGGCACCTCCTGGCCCAATGCGGTCGGAGGTGCCTAACATGTCCTCATGCTTTGGCTCCGCTGCCCTCACGACTGTGCAAGAGCGTTTGGCGCTTCGCGCATCACCACCAGCCCATCCAGAAACGATGGTCATGAAAATTGACGGGGGGAGAGAGGAAGAGACGCGCGTAGTCAAACAGCGAGGGAGGATTGGGAGACTCCGTGGCCATCTCGAGCCGTCTTGGATTGGTCTTGGGGCCGCTGAGAGCATCTTGGGAGCCATCTTGAGCCAGCTTGGGCTATCTGCGCCATGTTGGAGGTCATATCGGGCTCTCTGAGGCCGTTCGGGGGCCTCTTGGGGGCCTTTCGGGTGCCTCTTGGAGGCTTTTGGGGGCGCTTTTCGGGCCCTCTTGGGAGCCCCGTGGGGGCCCTGGAGGGCCTCTTGGGGCCATCTTGGAGGCGGTCGGTCATACGGTGGGGCGGTACTCGATGTTCGTCCCCCCCTCGGGGGCCACGGTCCTCGTGAGGGCTAGCAGGAATTGGCCCTCTTAGGGGCCGAAGATAAACCTTCTGACACCTCGCGGCCCCTCCAAGCAAAAAAAAACCTCAGGGAGGGGAGGGGGCGGGTTCCCCTCCCCGAAGGGAAGAAGGGTTGTGGAAGAGGACAGAGACCCCCCCACACCTGTCGCCCAAAGGGCTGGTGGGATTCTTGGGCGCTGACTGTCCCAGGGTATAAACTGTTGACGGGTCTATTTTTTCCGCCGATGAAATGGGCGCGAGTTCATATCGCGGGGGATTGGGCCCACATTTCGCACACCCCAGATGTCCATCCGACCATTCAGGTTTGGTTTTGCATTGTGTGTGGGTCCATCGCCGATAAGGCTTTGCGGGCTCTCGAATGCCTTTGTTCTAACAGGAGGTCTGTCACAGGTAGAGCGGACCTCGACATGATTGCCAGGGGGCTGAACCCCGAAGTCCTGAGCCGAGCCGAGCACTTGACTCGGCCATCGACTGCTCTCCAGTCCGACTGTTCCTGGATCCTCGAACCTGCACAGCAGCGGTGTCCACTCCACTCCACCCGACCCCCGAGGAGTGCTGCACCCGCCTCCTCTCGCGCCGGCCTGCGGGGGCGGGGGCCCGCGCAGTCGGCGGGCGCGGCGGCCCGAGGGCGCCGGAGGTCTGCAGCACGCCCTCGCCGAGCAGACGCCCTCGCCGAGCAGACGCCCCCCCTCCCCCCCCGTCGCAGGGGCGGGAGGCGAGCGGGATCGAGGCAGGACGCCCTCGTCTCCTTCCTCGCCCTCCTCGCGGTCTTCCATTTGTCGGGTGGGCCTCCCCTCGAGCAAGGGGGCCCCGCAGGCCTCCTGGCTCCACGGTGCTCGCAGAGCTGTGGACGCCTTCTCCGCAAAAGGCCCGCGTCGTCCTCGTCCTCGCCTGCTCGCCTCTCCCCCTCGCCATCTCCCGTCGCCTCGCCCTTGCCCACCTGCGGAGGACGGGGGGGGAGGGAGGGAGGAGGAGAGGGAGGGGGGGGAGGGAGGGGGGGGGGGAGGATGATCTGAGGAGACGGCCGTGGGGCCCCTTGGTGGGCCCGGCCCCCCCCAATGATGCCGCCCTGGATAGCATGGTTGTCGCAGCGTGGTTGACGATCGGGCTCAAGGACAGGGAGGAAGGGCAGGCGGAGGAGGAGGAGGAGTATGCGGAGGAAGAGAGAGATGGGGAGGATAACCTCTTCAAAAATCGTCCCCCGCGCCTGGACAACTCTTGGAACGCGTTCTAACCAGATGTTTGAGGCGGATCCAGCCGTGCTGATGATGAATATACAGGAGACCCAAAGACAGAGAAGAACAATCAAAAACTTGGACACTCGAGCCTCCTCCTCCTCTTTCTCCTCCTCCCTTTCATGCTCCTTCCCTCCATCTCGCCCTCCCACCCTCCCTCCCTCGCTCATCCTCCTCCTCCCCGGCCTCCCTCATCGTCATCGGCGAGGCTTGGCATGTTTGCTGAGCAGTGGCAGGGGGTCCCACTAGTGTCCGCCTCAAGCTACCTTCAAGAGAGTAAGGGAAGGTAAGCAGCATCCCTCGCACTCAAATGGCTGTGCTCCTGTCCCGGAGGAGCTCGTCTCGACTGCTGAGTGGCTGGCCAGAGTTGCCCAGCTGCCCTCATGCTGTCCCTTGCGCTGCTGACGAGTCAACGTAATCGCCCCTCCCGTCCCTTTTTATTACTCCATCCCCGTCATTCCACCTCCCTCCCCTTCTCCCCCTTACTCCCTCCGTCCTCCCTTCCCTGTCCTGTGCAGCCGCGTGTCCGGCTGGCCGGCACGCTCTGCAAATGTGAGCTGGCGACACCCCCCCATCCCAAAGAAGGGCACATCGCTTGACGGTGCCCACTCCCAGGGCGGAGGGGTTGCGCCAACCAGAGCCGTCAGATGGGGCTCGCACAGAAACGCAGGCGAGAGCGCCACGAAATGGCTGAGCAGTGGGGGCTCGGCCGCCAGCGCCCTCCCTCCGGCCCCAGACCTGCGACGTCATGCCACGACGTCGACGTCGACGGACCCATTTCCCTGGACCGGTTTTTCACCCGAGGCTCGGTGAGGGCCCCAGGAGGCCAAGGGTAGCGAAGAGCATCCCGTCGTGATTCTCTCGTGATTCGAGGAGGTCCGGGGGGCCCTGCTGGCCGCAGCCCGCGGGCCAGCCGCACCCCCTCCCCCAGAAGGGGCGCCGGGCGAAGGGTAGGGAAGGGACAGTTGGGGGTTGCGACATCTGCTGCCTGCAGGTGGCTTCGGCCACGCGGCCGGGCCCCTTCCTTCCTGCACGGCCGCCTCTCATCGCCAGGAGGCGCCAGGCGAACTGTAGCTGGCTGCGTGAGCTGACTCTCGATCCTGCCCTTTGCTATCCTGCCCCCACAAAAGGGGCGCTTGCTGTCCTGCCCTTTGCTATCCTGTCCCCCCCTTTGCTGTCCTGCCCTTTGCTGTCCTGCCCTTTGCTATGGGCGCTTGCTATTTGCTATCCTGCCCTTTGCTATCCTGCCCTTTGCTGTCCTGTCCCCCCCGCAATAAGGGGCGCCGGGCGCACCCAGCCGGCCGCCCGGCCAAAACGGCGCGGAGGGCTTCGGCGCCAGCGGGGGGCCACCCAGCAGGGTCGCGGCCGCCGGCGGCTACCCAGGCGCGCCCGCCGGGGCGGCCAAAAGCTTTCGGGGGCCCCCACACAGTCAACGTTTTGACAAGTGGTGGTGGTGGTGCAACGGTGGCATGACGGTCAACGTGTGCTCACATGTTTTGACAAGGGAGGGGAGAGGGGGAGGGAGGGAGGGAGGGAGAGGGAGAAGGGAGAAGAGGAGTAAGAGAAGGAAGCCACTTTGGCTCATGCCCTTGCGGCTCGGGCGGGCGCTTTTGTGCCGTATCTTCGAGTGTCGTTTTTGTTTTGATCATGGTTGTGCCCCTCCAGCGTGGTGGGCCGCTGCGTCGCAGCATCTGATCAAGGAACAGCGGAAGGTCCTCGATGAAGTACTCGAGCCGATCAAGGAAGACGTTACCTTGGTGACGAAAGACGTTGTGATTTTGAAGTCCTCGCACGCTGACGTGGACGCCATGGTCAGAAAGCTCGAGCAGGGGGGGTCTTCAGCAACTCAGGGGTGGATTTTCAACCGATGTACGTCGACGTCTTCGGGTTCTGCACGTTCAAAGGCAAGGACATCCATGGCATCTCCCGCCAAGAGGCCGTCGAGCTGGTGGAGAAACTGAAGGAGGACCTCGATCCAGGCACCCGGGAGCACGTCCGGAAGTTGCAGTTGTTCGGTCCGAAGAATTATTCCATTCGGGTCCCGATTTCGCTAAATTATCTCATGGAGGTGAAAAACGCTTGGTGGGCGCCAACGCAACCCAAAACCCCCAAAGCGGTATTCTACCTTGGGCAAGGTTCTCGATTGGGCAACGACTGCGCTCGATAATGCATACAATTCTGTTGCCGACGAGTGGGGCGCGGAGCTCAAAATCACCAGTGTCACCAGCCAGGAAGAGGGGAACATGGGAGTGACACCGACGGGCATTCGTTGCAAGGTGCCGCCGAATGGGGCCATCAAGTGGAACTCTATCAATCTGCCTTTGGTGGGGTGGACGCCGGAGCAAGCAAACCTGGCGGTCGCCAAGTACCGGCGCGGCCCGCAGTAGTGGTGCCCACCGCCCCCTAATTCGAGCAGCCAGGGTGACGGTTTCTCGGTGGTTATTTTTCATGTACATATACAGAGCGTGCGAGGCACCCCGTCTATGCCGCAGTCTACGGCAATTGGGCCGAGGGTCTTCGGTCACTTGCCTTCACGAAATCCCACGCTGGTCGTCTGGCTGGCTACTCCTTGAGTGGAATTACGTCTTGCACACCAGCCGCGCCAAGGCCGACGACACTGCCAACCGCGACGGATTCGATTGTGGATTCCTGATCCCGGCGAGCCTGAATCCACCACTTGCTAGAGACGTGCAGCTTGGACGGTATGTGCAGTTTGCACGGTATTGGGGTGTTGTTGTGTTAGCTCTGGGGCCGTTCGGTTTCACTGTGGTCGTGAGTGTGCACCTGACGCATGCAAGTCGCGATTGTTATGGCGATGTTCTAGGGGATGCGTGCGCAGATACAGTGACGTACTGGCAGTCATGTAAGCAACGAGTTCCTTCGAACATGTACTTGGCTATCGGAGTCGACACAAACACGACACTACCGGCGGACATAATTACCAGACACCACTGGGACAACAACGGCTGCACCTTTGTGGCGTCGCATTCGCACTCTATATTGCGCCGTGTCTTAGAATCGTTGCAGGTTCTCGGAGTGAGAGCTGCTACCACGCACGGCGAGCACCAGTCGAAGCATGAGGTGTGGACATGGAGTCTTCACCTCGTTCTCAAATCGACTGCGTGGCATTGTCAAGGGAGCTGGTTGGAATTGGGTGGCCTTTGAATCACCTTCTATGTTTACAGTGAGGAGCCCCTCGGCAAGAAAATTGATCATCGGCCTGTTGTTGCACATGTGAGCTGTGCAAACATACACCGATTCCAGATGGCCGGGGCCCGGTGCATATCAACTGCGGGCCGGGCGGCGTCTCCGATGACCTCCCCAAACGGCGATTCCAGGACGACGATGTGAAACGTGTTTTCCAGACGAGCGTGGCCAAGGACAGCTTTGGTAAGACCGACTTGGTGGGCGGCCCGTGCAGGGGGACCGTTGCAAAAACGACGTGTCGGAAGCAAATGCGACAGCTACGGCGTGAAATGCGCATGGACATCGACCCTGGGCGCCAGAAGGAACTACGAGGATACATCTGGAAGTTCTTCAACGCGCTCACCAAACTCAACGCCACAACGAAGACTCAGGTTTTGAAAGCAAGCCGACGCCATGATATATTCACGTATAAGTACTTCACAGTGGACGGGAGGATTTCGCATGACAGGAAGGAGCGGGTCCAAGGCGCATTTGATTTGGCAAGCATCGTTTTGGTGATATTGGGAAACCCAGCCCGGCGCAGCAGCTTCGGCACGAAAAGCTCCGCAGCGCTGTCGCCAACTCCATCTTGGGCGGCATTGGGCAGCAGTTCGAGTTTCGGGGCTCTTCGCGCCAGTTCAGAATTGAAAGGAGGCGCTGCTGCGGAACTTGACGGGGCCACGCCGGACATCTACAGAGAGCTACCGTTGGCTGCGATGTTTCATGTTCGCGATGTGTTTGCACAGCTCGCTGGGAGCCTGGGGGGCGTCGCAGGATCCATCCCCTGGAAAATTATGGTGTTCGCGTGGCTTCCGAAAGCCAAGTTCGACGGCGAGTTCAGCGGCCTGCGATGGGCGGCGAGACACTCCGACATAGAACTATTGCATTAAAAGCAACTTGCTTTCGCATGCAGTGGACACCCGCTGCGCCGATCTCAGCCTGCCCAGCAAGCCGCGCAGGGCAGTCGTGCTCCTCCTTAGGACTTAGGCCCTAAGGCGATAGACGTCTCGCACTGAGGTCAGGATCACATTCAAGTAATCAAATGCCCCTTCTGAGCGACCGGACCGCCAGTCGAGCCACCAGCGCACGATGGTCCTGGGCAAGGACTCTTGGACTCATTGGGCCAGCAGTACGCAGACGATAGTCGGGGGCCGGGGTGCCATTGAAGCTTCTCCCCCTCTGGCTCATGTTCTCAGGATGGCGTTCTGGTGTTAGATGAGATCGTCAATCCTTCGATGGAGAGGCTTCGCCTGGAAGGCGATAGCGCTAGCCGCCGAGCCAGGGGGGCGTCTCCTCGACAGACCTGCCGCGCGCGCGGACGCGCTATTTTCTGATCTCGTGAAGACCAAATCGCATGGAAGTGGGAGTCCCGGAGCGCCGAATGCGCGGTGTACTGGCCCAGCCCAATGGCCGCGGCGGGGCTCTGGACTGGGGGATTTCGTTAAGGATTGAAATTGGCTGGTTAGGACTTGCCCCAGAGGCAAGTCCTCTGCTGTCGCTCATGCGCAACTGGCTCCACGTCGTGGAAATGGGGCTTTCTTGCGGACGAGCCGCGCCCACATTGCGAGCGCCTTTATGCAGCGCGCCATCGGGCGCGGCCATGCCTTAGCCGTCGCGAATCTAAGGGTGACTTGCAAGGAGACGTCCAGGAAGCGGCCCTGCATCCGGGGCCTGGGGGCAATTTTTCAGAAGACAATGGGTCCCGAAACGAGCCATTCCATGACCGGCACCCCGAGCAGATTGATCGACCTGGGGCCTGCATGGCAGGTCATCTCGATAAAGACTTCCCCGCGTTCCTCGACGGGAACGGCTCGGGCGCTGCCTATATCGGGAGACTGCCCGGGCAGGCAGCGCGGCTGTGCAGCTATGCCCTGCATCAAGGACACGCAAAAAGCCCTTGCCCTGGTTCAAGAGGCGCTGTGCGCTCAAACTCCTTTGGGCTGACAGGGTAAGCCCCGCGTGATATGCGGCGTCCTGGCGGCCCTCTAGGCTCTGGGGGGTCCGAGGAGGCTTTCGTTCGTTTTTTCAGTCCTCAACTGAAGGGGAAATCTTGCGAATCACATGGTCTCCTCTGTCGTTTCTTTTCCTCTAGCAGGATGCCGGGCGCGCCGCGGCGCGGCGGCCCCCCCCGCCGGGGCCCCCGTTTGGAGGGGGGCGCCGCCCCGCTGTTTCAGAGAGAGCACTTGGCAGGGAGGCGCTGGCGAAGAAGGGGCCTCGCGCGCCGCCTGGGCCCCCTCCTGTCCATCGGAGGAAGCGCGATGACTGGGGCCCAGACTGCTAAGATCGGGTATAGCCAGGACCCCGGGCGAGGGGGCCCGGTTAGTGGTAGGGCCCTGGGGTCCTTCAGTGGGCCAGATTCACTCCACCAGGTTTGCCGTAACTGGTGTTTTTCGGGTGACGGCAGTTCCGGCTAGTGGAAACGGGCTGGGGGTCCGCCCCCGGTGCAGATCCCTGAACATGGTTCCACTAAACCCAGTTCTGTCAACGCCCGATAAGAGGTGCACCCGCACCCGTGCCCTCACAGTAGGGCAGAAACTAACGTATGAAGCCACAATCCGATGCCACATCGAGACCGCGAGTGGTCTTCTGAAGATGATCAGCTCCCCAGGCGCTGAGTTGCGCTCCCTCGGTAGGTGCTCAAGCAAGGAAGCCGCTGTGACTTGGCAGATATGGCTTCGAGGGATGATCAAGCATTCGGCTTTTTATGTTTTGCCTATGCACTCTGTGCGCCGCAGTCTCTCAGACGTGACAGTTCCACTCACTTGACGTATCAATGTAGCCAAGTCCAGGTTCGCATCCGCGCTCGCGCCCAGCTTCGAGCGCGTTTTTGAACGGGGCCGCAGACAACGGCAGGAGGAACGAGAAGAGCAGCAGGAACAGGTCTGACGCAGTTAGACCCCCCCCCCCCACCCCCGCAACACCTCCACGCCCGCCATCGTCACGTATGACGGCTTCTGCGAGCTGCTAGGCTCGGAGCGGGACTTGGGCATGGCGCTCTATTGCTGCGCTCCCCCCTCTTGGCCACCATCTCTTGCCTGTCTCTTGCCAGGTCGGCTTCGAGCTGCGTTCCCTGCTGGGTTCGCCCTGGTGTCCTCTGCTCCGCCCGACCTTCTGCTGCGACTGCGCCTGCTCCACCCCTGGGCGCGCCGCGGCAAAGCGCGGCGCTCCTGCGACCTCGGCGTGGCGCGACGGGGCGCCCGCCCCCAGTGCGCACAGTAGCAAAGCACCAGCAGCAAAAGGAAGAGAAAGCTCAAAAAAAAGAGAAGAAGAAGAAGAAGAATAATAATAGAGTAATAAGAATAATAACGAAGAGAAGGCTTCACTGTCGAAGGCCCCGGGCGTTTTTTCGGCGTCTTGCCTCCACGCTCGTGCCGCCGATGCCGAGTCCAGCACACAGACAGCATGTGTGATGCGCCTCGGCAGTTTCGCGTGGGCCTCCAGATGGGGCCTTCGTCACGCCGCGTTCGGATCTGCCTCAGCGTTCTGGTCGGGGCCCGCGCCTGGAGAGGTCCAGGCGCCTGCTCTTTCGGGGTCGCCACGAAGGGCAGGGGCCCCGGAGCCGTGCCTCCGACATGGGGAGCATAACGTAGACCGCGCTAAGCAGCAGATTGCGAATTGCTGACCGCGAAGAAAAACACCGGATTCTCGCTGTCGTCATTGCCGCCGTCACGGATCGAGGAAGAACGAGCGGCGTTTGACAACTTGGCGACATATCTTCCAAGCAAATCCCTCTTCGATTCCTGAGGGATGGGGGGGTGGGGAGAACGAGGTCGGAACCGAGGAGGGCAGAAACGAATGATGATGATGATGATGATGATGATGATGCTGATGATGATGATGATGATGATGCTGATGATGATGAGGAGGAGGAGGAGGAGGAGGAGGAGGAGGAGACGGAAGAGGAGGATAGAGCGTAGGAGGGGGAGAAAGAAGGGGAAGGTGGGGGGAAGGATGAGGAGAGGAGAAGCAGGAGGAACAGGGGAGGGAACGCGATGAGGTAGAACGTCTCGCGCTGCCCCCCCCCGCGGCCCTGCCCGCGGCCCTGCCCGCAGCCCCTCCCCGCCACGAGGCTCTGGCAGGGGCCATGGGGGCGGCGCGTCCGGCAGCTATTGCGAGGAGATCGAGAAGGAACTCAAGTCCGGGGCGCAGTCGTCTCAGACTTCGAAGGCTCACGAGGGCCTTCGGTCGGAAGGCCTCTGGTCGCCTCCGGGGGCCTTCCTGGGACTGCCGCGGCTGCCCCGTAGGTTCAAGCCGCGCTGACGATCGGTCATGCGCAGATGCGGGCGTTTAACGTCGTAGAATTCCTTTCCGATCCGAGCGACCCGACATCGATTTCGATAACTATTGGTTGGCTCCATCCGATTCGATTCCGGCATTCGGGCGGTTCGATGTGTCCCGATGTTTCCATGACCCGCACTGTGCACCGTGGCGCGGCCGATCCGATTCGGTTCTGGCTCCGTCCCGATGCGGCCCGATTGGAGGATGGTCACGCGGGCAAAAAGGGTCCTGGTTTTAGATCGGCGGCGACAGCGGGGGGGAATGCTCGGAAGTCCCCTGGCCTTCTGAAAAAGTGTTTTGGGTTTTGGGTTTCCCCGAAAACGCATTTTTTGCTCCAGCAGGCGAGAGGGTATTTGAGAAGTCTTGCAGCCTTCTGGGAGGGCCTTTTCTCCTTCTCACTTCCCCCCCCCTCCTCGTTCGCCGCCGGAAAAGGGTCGGGGTTTCTGGGAACCTCGCTTCTGGCCTGAGAGTTGTCAATGTCGCTTGGCGCAGGCTGCGCCGATGCCGAGGTCCGCGGGTTTGCGTGCTTGCGGACGCCGCGGTCGCGCCCGATTGCATAGCAAAAGGAGCGGAGGAGGGAATCCAGATCCAGGTTCAGACCTCCGACGTATTGAAAAAAACGTGTCAGATGTTTTAAGCATTTTTTCGGCCTCTGGGGGCCCTCGCTGGGCCCTGGAGCCGTCAAAAGAACGTCTCAGGACGAACAGCTTGCGTTGGGGAAAGAGTCTAGGCGTCTGGGGATTCCGATTTGAAGATTGAGGGATCGGGTATCGTCCATCTGTCGGTCCTCCCCCTTGCCACCCTGCCTCGTTATCTTTTTGGTTTTCCCCTTCGGTCCTCCTCCATTGCCTCTTGCCGTCTTTCTGCTATATTTTATGCCTGATTATCTGTCTCTTTTGGTCGTTCGCGCTCTCGGCGACATCGCGAATGAAGATCCCGGTTTGTCCAGTGGTCTGTCATCTCACGCCGTGGGGTCATGTGGGCGGTGGGTTTGATGGAAGCACCCGTTTTTGCGTCGCCGCCTTGCGCGCAGCGACAGGGCGGGGATGGGCGTAAAGCAGCAAACGCGCTCGCGACTAACTAGGAACGCCCAAACCCTCAGAGACGGCTTAGGGTGCCGCAAGATGATTATGGAAGCACCCCCAACACACAAATATTCACGCCCACTTTTGCTGGGCGTCGCGGCCACGCGCGCAGCGGCGCGGCCTAGGTCAGGCCACGCCGGCCTGCTCTCTCCATCTTTCTCTCTCTCTCTCTCTCTTTCTCTCTCGCTCTCTCTTTCATTTTGTTTTTGTTATCTTTCTCTTTCTCTCT